TGCATAGGAGTTTCAATCTCCCTGCAGCCTCTTCAACATTTGTTATTTTCTTGTTTTTTTGATTCATGCCAGTAAAGTCCGGGTGAGATGATATCTCGTTTTGGTTTTGATTTGCGTTTCTCATAGAGGGAATTTTGCAGCTGTTTAAATACCATCATTAAACAAGAAATACAGGACTAATGTGGTCTCTAGGAGAGAGTAAAATAGACTTGTTTAGATCTTACCTGGAATCACAGAAGAGGGCAATGTTGGCATGTTGCTGTAATTGGAAGGCTTGAAGTGATACTGACTCCATTTTTTATGTGTCTTTCCCTTCATACAGTCCATCGACGACTTGAACAAATGGGCCCTATTTCTTGTTTCTCCTTTTATACTTGAAGCAGAACACATAGCATTTGTGACAGAGAGCATTTGGGTACAAAGTGAGAATTTACAGAGACCATCCCCCTCTTCAGAGACGGTGAGTAATGTGATTTTACTTGTGTAACCCATTGCCATTGGTTCTGACTCAGAGCAACCCTGTGATCCTTGTGTACCATAGGGAAATATATACATTTTAATCAAAATCAGGTTTGCTTTTGCTGAGTGCTGTTTCCCAGTCTTTATGGCTCCCCTCCCTCTTTTTAGGATATTTTGGGTTAGAAAAACTATATTAGTAAAATTACCTTCCTTTTCCTTTTTTAATATGGCTGCTAAACCAAAAAAACCAAGCCTGTCACCGTCGAGTCGAGTCTGACTCACAGCGACCCTATAGGACACAGTAGAAGCGCCCCATACAGTTTCCAAGAGTGCCTGGTGGATTTGAACTGCCAACCTTTTGGTTAGCAGCTGTAGCACTTACTAGAAAATTCAGAATGACCTACATGGCTCAGATTTGTGACTCACATTATATTTTTAATGGACAGTACTGCTGATCCTCTCTCTCAGGCCATCTCATCTGTTCCTACCACTTCTTGCTTTCAAAGTTAAGCTTGATTTATCATGAATCAGCTGATTTCTATTGCAGCCTACTTCCTGGACATCTCATTTTGAGTTCTGAAAACACCTCAAACTCAGTGACATGTCCAAAACTCAGTGACATAGTCCTCTGCTTTAAAAAAACAAAAAACAAAAGAAAATCCCAAATGATTAACACACCAACCTGCTCTTCCTCCTGTTTTTCATAATTCCATTGTATCAGGGTCTACCAACCAGGGAAGCAGACCTAGTAGAAGATAGATAGGTAAGTCGGTAGATAGGTAGGTAGGTAGATGTTGTTAGTTGCTGTAAAGTTGGCTGACTCTCGGTGACCTCATGTACAACAGAACAAAA